ATTGCCACGGTGGGTGTTCGGAGATTTCCCTCCCTATCTCCTATATATGCAAATATTCAAACTTGCATATCAGTATGCATTTGAGTGTGCGGATCGTTGCGTATTCGTGTGAGTTCGCATCTATAAAAAGTGCGGTGTGTCTTCCCATAATCCCTTGCTGCTATTAATCTTTCCACGTTCAATTCCCAAATGGAGAATTTATTTAATAGGACGGCAAACCTTCTTGCATTTTTCTTTAATGTTAATTTTTCCCCCACTGTAGACAAACCCCAAACTCATAAATGCATTTTGTATGTTTTCACGAAAAAGCCTCCGGAAGAAGACATTATTTCCTTATTTTTTAACACCCCAAAATAAAATAAAACACAATATATAATTAGGTGCATAGGTAAATAAACACTAACAAAATACAAGAATAAACTGTAAATAAAATATAACGAAAAAATATTCTCTCAGGAGAAATTTTCAAGAAAATGAACTTAATACACTAGCACGACTTTCTTGCTGTTTTTTTTTTATTTCAGTCTGGTAATATCTATCTATCTATCTATCTATCTATCTGTTCATATCTATCTATCTATCTATCTATCTATCTATCTATCTGTTCATATCTATCTATCTATCTATCTATCTATCTATCTATCTGTTCATATCTATCAATCTCCGTTCATATATCGTTCTCTGTCTCTTTTTCTCTCTCCCTCCTCTCTCTATGTCTCCTCTTACTATATATATATATATATATATATATATATATATATATATATATATATATATATATATATATAGTTTTATGGTTAATGTGTTTGATATCAGGGATAGAACGTATGTAAATATGAATGTTGACACTGAAATCAACATCCAGCGGCAACAATTTGTTACATGTAAACATAATCATCAGAACATTGTGTTTTTGTTCGACTATTTATATATATTGGTTAGTCGTGCACTATGGGTAGACATATTGTATTGTTCTAACGATTATTTGGGTAGGCGGTAACGCTTATGTTTCGAATTATTTTAGCTGTTTTAAGTGGGAAAATTGTAGATCTGGCTGCAGCTTTGGGGTTATTTCATAATGTTGCTTAACCGTTAGAACAATACAACAGGCCTATCAATAATGCATCACACACCAGCATATATAGTCAAGTAAAACCACGGCGTACATGGCCTGACAATTGCGTTTAATCGTTGAAACAGACTATATATATATATATATATATATATATATATATATATAAACATGCCTGGCCGCGTACACAATTCCGGAAAATCCTCCTTGAAAACACAACCTTACTTAAATAGAAAACAATAAGCAAAAACTAAAAATTCTTGAAGCTATATACATTTAAACCTAACCTGAACAAAATAAACTACGAAATCTCCACAAATATTCTTAAATGCCTATAATTGATAACAGAAGCCATTGGTTTATACCAACGGTTTCCCATACTTAATACTTCTCGTTTTCACTCTCGCGTTGTCATATGTGACGTCACGAGCTGCGACGCGATTTTCGTTTCCGCGTCTCGTATACACGATATAGTTGTTGCTTTGAAATTTTTCATGCAACAAAAACAGACTAGCATTATTGTTTCGTCCGTGGTTGATATATTGAAAAGTAATTGTTATCCTTGATAATGGCGTATGTAAGCCGACAGCTTAGATTGGATTTAAACATGTATCAATATGGTGATTTCCTTTCGTCTTTCAATGATAATGTTATTAAGCTTATCAGACAATATGAAAGGAACTTACTTAAAATAAATAGACAAAACTTGTCTATATTATTTAATCGAAAATGCATCAATGAAAAATTGCTGCATAAATATACACTATATATATATATATATATATATATATATATATATATATATATATATATATATATATATGGGGTAACGTTTTCTCTTTCTGACCATGAGATCGGGTTCGAATCTCACTATGGCCGATTTGTCAGGAAGGCACCCTTTGGAAAGTGCCTGAAAACCATACTTTGTGAATGAAATTGGGTAAACAGAACTCTTGTGTTAGCACGAAGTCGTCTTGGGCTTGAGCGTGCCTTGTTCAAATTGTTGATCACGCTAGATAACAAGAATAGGAAACCCCCATCATTACTGGAAAGAGTGATAACAGCTACTGGACTCGAGAAACCTATTTTCTGAAAAAAAATATTTAAGAGAAAGATTTTATAAATGTCAGTAGTACCGAAGTGCTGCGGACAGTAGGATTGGCTGATCAGCCAATGGGTATTTTTCAGTGCGCCCACGTGGCTACCAAATGTGACACATGGTTGAAGTTTAAAGTGGGTTTAACGGCAATACCGTAGAAAAAATTGCTCAAGTACTCCCGGCACTTCCACTTTTGGAAAAACCTCAGGCGCCGGACAATAAACCAAGCACTCTCCCAAACGAGAGGCAAAGTCTTAGGGGAAGGCATCCCATGAGTAATTTTCAGTGCGCTCAAGTTGCTACCAAATGTGACACAAGGTTGAGGTTTAAAGTGGGTTTAACGGCAATACCGTAGAAAAAATTGCTCAAGCACTCCTTGTAGTTCATCTTTTAGAGACGTCTCAGGCGCTTGGCAATAAACCCAGCCTCTTTCTGAAGGAGAGGTAGTGCCCGTTAGGTGGGTGGGGGTTTCTTCGGCTTGGGCTTAATTTTTTTTTTTTTTTTTGTAATATTTTTTCATTTAAATCACCTGTTTTCTTCTGTTCGGTCAATGAAAGTCGAGTGTTTTCTTATAAGGAAACAGTTACTATTGCAACCACCATTATTATAGCAACGATACTACATTTTTGGTCTGATCTAACCCTTATAAAATATGTAAAACTGTGATATAGAATGTACTTT